GAGAGAGGCAGGCTGGAATTGACGACAGAGAGAGAGAGAGAGAGAATTGACGGGCAGGCGGAATTGAATTGACGACAGAGAGAGAGAGAGAGACGGGCAGGCGGAATTGAATTGAGAGAGAGAGAGAGAGAGACGGGCAGGGAATTGACGACAGAGAGAGAGAGAGAGAGACGGGCAGGCGGAATTGACGAGAGAGAGAGAGAGAGAGAGAGAGAGAGGCGGGCAGGAATTGAATTGACGAGAGAGAGACGGGCAGGGAGAATTGAGAGAGAGAGAGAGAGACGAGACGGAATTGACAGAGAGAGAGAGAGAGAGAGACGGGCAGGGGAATTGACTACAGAGAGAGAGAGAGAGAGACGGCAGGGAGAATTGACACAGAGAGAGAGAGAGAGACGGGCAGGCGGAATTGACGGCAGAGAGAGGAAGAGACGGCAGGCGGAATTGACGACAGAGAGAGAGAGAGAGAGAGAGAGACGGAAACAGAGAGAGAGGGAGAGAGAGAGAGAGAATTGGAATTGAGAGAGAGAGAGAGACGGGCAGGAGAATTGAGACAGAGAGAGAGACGGGAGAGAGAAATTGACAACAGAGAGAGAGAGACAAGCAATTGGCAACAGAGAGGGGGGGCAGGCGGAATTGACGGAAGAGAGAGAGGGGGCAGGCGGAATTGACGACAGAAAAAGAGAGAGAGGCAGGCGGAATTGACGACGGAAAGAGAGAGGGGGGGGGCGGAATTGACGACGGAAAGAGAGAGGGGGGGCAGGCGGGAATTGACGACGGAAAGAGAGAGGGGGCAAATTGACGAAGAGAGAAAGAGAGAGGGGGGGGGGGCAGGCGGAATTGACGACAGAGGAAGAGAGAGAGAGACAGACAGGCAGGCAGAATTGACAACAGAGAAAGAGAGAGAGAGAGACAGGCAGGCGGAATTGACAACAGAGAGAGGTGGGCAGGCAGAATTGACAGCAAAAAAGAGAGAGACATAGTATATACATTTTATAAAATCTGATAACCCTTGGTGGGTAATGTAACAGAAAAATAACTCTTATAAGCAATCCAAATGATTAAAATGATTTTTGTAACACTTTTACAAAGGCTCAAATAAATTTCAAACAGTATCTACATAAATAATCTTTATTTCTGACTGAAGTTGCTTACTCAAAAGGAACCAAAGAGTTATGATAAAAAAAAGCAACAAGAAAAAAAAAGTAGTTAAAACATATGGAGTAATGACAATGCATCATCCCAGTAATTCAGACAAGAATCGATGCAATTGTAAACCTAAGCTTAACACTAAGATAAGGAGTGTTGACTTTTATACAAATATAATTTTCAACTACCATACATCCAAAAATCTCAGTATAAGTGTGCGTGTTTGTTACTGACTTAGGTACAGACATTTTTTTTATTTTTCTCCTCTGCCAAGAATGAAGTTTGCTTGATATATTAAATACACAAAGACTTTCAAACATCGATTACACTGAGAGAACATTGGCCAAAACAAAGAACCAAGTTTTAGCTGCTGAATAGAGGCCATGTTTATGCTAAAAAAAAAAAAAAAAAAAAAAAAAAAAATTAAAAAAAACAAAATATTAAAAAAAAAATCTTTTATACTGTCCCCCACAATGTCAAAGAGTGGGTGGAAGTGTAGCTTTGGACACTGAAATTATAGGGTTTTAAATATGCAGAAGATTCCAATCCTCAAAAGAATGCTTTCAGGTAAATTTAAGTCAGCCAGGCTTAAAACAATTTCACTAAAGGACCTTTTTAAAAAACATCAATGTTTTGGAACTTAAATTTTCATGTAGCTTTCCTAGGATCAGCAAGCGAATGTGTTTGGCGTGTGTGCAATTGATTTTATTCTTTGCTATCTGACTTGCATAAACTGTTCATGAGATAGTGGCAATTTGTTCTGCTGAGACAACTATTTGTATAGCAAAAGTTGTTTTGGAAAAGGTCCCCAAACAACAAATCCTAACTGATGAGTGTAGACATCTGGCAGGTGACTCCAATCAAGTGTGGATTTCAGTGTGTGTGTGTGTGTGTGTATTCACACTGCTTTCATATAAAATTTCATAAATACATTATATCTCTGTCAATGAATTCATATTAATGTCTGTTAATTTCCAAAGCTTAGCCTAGCCTGACACAAGGCCACATGTGTAGAGTACCCAGTGAAGTTAAAACTCACGTTAACACTAGTGTGTGTGTATATATATATATATATATATATATATATATATATATATATATATATATGAAAAAAAGTCAACTTCAGTACTTATATAGTTGATTGACCTAACAATTGTGTCATGGTCAAATTTTGCTGACCAATAAAGCTGTTCACACATAAAAACACTTCCACAAAAATAAACACATACACAGAATAATTCTAAAGTAAGTTTATACATTTTTTAACATTAGGAGAAATAAATTGGTTTCAATATTTATATTCAAAAGTAATGTCCTCATCTTTGTTGCTATTATCACAAAGTTTCAGTTATTATGCTCTCCAATCTTCTTCAGGTGTCTGTCAATACAGATAACCTGGGAATTTCAAACTAAACACTTTATTTAATCAACAAGGGTAGATTGTTCCAATTCCACTATTAGTACTGTTCAGTTATTGTTTGCTCTGTTTCCACTGAGTCTAAGTGAACTATCTGGCTCAGTGAATTTGTGTAACCATGTTCAATCCTTGGACCAGGTAGTACACAGACTTGAAGTCAATGAAAACATGGCAAGCAATAACTGAGCAGAACTAGATGAGATATCCCTAGATGTTGTCAGTGAAATGAGAACAATCTAACCCTGTAGATTAAATAAAGGGATCAGTTTGAAGTTTCTTGAACATCACCTAGATCAACTGACACCTGAAGACGGACAGAGAGCTGATAAGCCAAAATGGTGTGGTAATAACAAAGATGAGGACATTACTCCAAATGTAAATAACACCTTGTCAGGTGTAAATTTGTTTCTTTAATTCTTGATGAAGAATTTCTCATTATTTGAACCTCATGAAAGTTCATTGGTGATGCCTCTAAGAAAAGGAACTTTTGTAAGTAAACTTAGAGCTATTTAAAAAAAATGCCTACAAGGAGAAGCCATGATGAAAAATAATTTTAATATTTGTCTCACAAAATTAATTAATAATCTTTAATTGTACATATTAACAATAACTGTCTAAATTATTTTTTTAGATTTCTCTCAATTTTTGTTTTTTTAAATGTGTAAACCTACTTCCAAGCCTGAGTGTGTTCATATATATATATATATATATATCCACATCCCCATTGTTAAGTAACAATGATTAAATGTAATGGTTAAATGTGTGTATGTATGCATGCATGTACATATATACATATGTACATTTCTCACCGCCCTAGTCTGCCCAGTTCTTTAATTAGGATTTTTTTTTTTTGACCATTTTCCCCCCCACCTCTACTATTGGAGACTACAATGACAACTGGGTCCGGCATCATCACTGCTACCCCCTGCCCCACCCGAGGAGCGATGATGTCGGTGGTGACAATGATGATGATGACAGTGAGGATGATGATGGTGATGGTGATGGTGATGGTGGTGGTGGTGTCGCCTGTTTGCTTTCCGACCATCAACAGCAGCTTCATTGCGATGATCATCCCCAGTCCCCGATGATGGACACGCACTGTGCAAGGATTCCTTACTGCATAAACACACCTTGTTTGCATTGTGCCGGCCACGAAACATTTGCTGACACCTGTTGACATAGTCCTCATACTGCTGGTCCAGCTTTGTTGCAGCTGCAATCTGCTCCTTACGTGCTGGCACTTCCAGTGCCTCAGCACAGTCCACAGAACATGCCCAATGTTGGAATGGAACACAAGTATTTCCCAGATAGGGATTTTTGAAGGTAATCACTTTGTAACCTGAAAGAAAAGAAAGACGAACAGTTAGAAAAAAGAAAAACAACAATTCACATGCACATTATACAAAGTGTCCCAAAAAATTTGACCATTTCACAGGCCAATAATTTTGCCAATTCTTGTAGAAATAATCTTCACAAAATATATAGAAACAGATCAAGATTTTATATTTAAGGTTTTATTTTTGTTATCTCAATGAGAATCTGCCAGAGAGATGGATCAGCATGGTGGAGATAAAGACAGTTTTCTGATGAAATGGCCGCCGCTGTCACTGGACCTGTCCCCCGTGTGATTTCTTTTTATAGGGATATGTGAAGAGACTGGTCTACGTCTCCCTGCTAGCATTGATGAACTCAAGCATAGAATTACTTCCGCACTGGATAATGTTACCAGAGACATGCTACAGCTTGTCTGGCAAGAGCTTAACTACTGACTTGACGTGTGCCATGTCACAGGCAGTACATATATTGAACACTTATGAAATCAGTCCCATAATAAACTTATGATACTCAACACCTAAAGTGTTCAATTTCATTGAGCTAGACTTAGTAGTTTAAGATAATTGTTTTTAAAATGATGTCAAGTTTTTTTTTTGGGGGGGGGGTGACACCTGTACATATAATAACTATTCTGACAGTTATGTTTGCATGAATTCTTGACCATTGACAATCCCTTTCTTTCTGATTGTCACTGTACAACAGAGATTGGAATTTTTTTTTTTTTTTTTTTGCAAAAAGTGATTATTATTAACACAGAAAGTATAAAACATCAAAGTATGGAGTTAGTAATTAATGTTGCTGCCTTTGGCTCAAATAATTGTCTAAATTCAATGTGGCATTGAATGGAACAAAGTCCAAATTTTCTCAATGAGAATTTTTTTCCCTCCATTCTACTTGGCAGTAATCCCAAAGCTCTTGGAGATTGCTTGGTTTTCATTGGAGCACTTGTTTCTTCAGTTCCCACCACAATGGTTCAATTATATTGAAATAAGGACTGTGTGCTTGCCATTCTTCCAAAACTTGAATAACTTCATCCGCAAGAAACCTTTCTGTTGCACGTGTGTGGCAAGGAGCTATATCATTTCCCCCATCTTCATAGCCTGGCAGAAGATTAGACTGTAGTAAACTTATATATTTTTGCTGTTTATGTTTCCATCAATTTTTATCAAATTTCTTCTACCATAGCTTTTATAGCAAAACACACACTATTAAGTGTCCACCAGCAGATGTTACTGTTGTTGTGTTGGTATCTTGCATTGTTTCTTGCTCCCATTGGTCTTTTTACATATTCTCTTGCATTAGAATGGAACTATTTTGTCTTCATCACTAAAAACTTACATTTTGCCACTTTCCAGCATCTCATGATTAGATGTAATTTCGATCACTTCAATCTTTTACGATGTTTTTGGTTAATGATTTTTTTTTTTCCTTATTGCTATACACACATATTTAAATTCTTTTTTTTTTGTAATACTCTGCGGACTGCATCAATTGAAACCTCACTGTTAAGACAGCATTCAGTCATCACTTGTTTGGTCGTTAATTTTAAATTGCCCACAGAAACTCTCACAAATTTATTTACATCTCCCTTGTCTAACTTTTATTGTCTTCCAATTTTTTTTTTTGCACTTAAAAACACTTCCAGTAGTAACAAACGTCATTTAGGTGCTTTGAACACTATCAGCTGGCTATCTATCATTGAGTTATCTGCCCCTTCAAAGTCACAATCTTCATCTTTGTTTCAGTAGAAAATTTAGCCATGATTTTTATGCAAAAAATCAAGTTAGTGATCAACTATAATGATTTGCCAAGGCGCATCACACTCATATTAAGATTACTTTTATTGGCCTAATATTTTTGCAGGGCCTTTTTTTTTTTTTTTTTTTTTTTTAAACACAGCACCAATTAAAACAATACCTTATTTTCCAATCCTCAAGGTCCACAGACAATACTGATAATATTATACTGGTAAACAATCTTAACTTTTTAATTAATATAAAAGGCATAAAATCAAGGTGCATGTTGGTCCAAAACTTTTACACACCAATGTGTTATATATATATATATATATATATATATAAGTCCAGCTATAAGACTAAGAATCATTGAAGGTGGACCACTGGAGCCTCATAACCAGCTGCTTCAGGTAGATGGAGCTTATCAGCCCAGGAAGGCAATTGATATCCAAATAGAGAAAAGGCTATGGAATAAATCCAGACAGAAAATCCAGAGTGGAGCCGTGTAGAGAGTTGCCTGTCAACACCAATCTTGTCAATAAGGCCAGAGGAGCACCATGTGATTTGGGCAGTGCTTGACCTCTTTACGATTGCCAAGGTCTGCACACTAAAAGAGGTCACTCCAGTCTCATCACAAAAAGACTGAATGTTAACGAAACAAGGTGCTATATCTCACAAGATAAACAGATGACTACTGTCACAATAGTAGGCCATGTAATATCACAATTTAACACACACACACACACATGCACACATTTGTATACATGTTTGTACTAAATGTCCACTGACCCAAGAACTTGCTGGATGTCGAGCCACTTATCTCACCAAGCTTGTCTGGTGAGAGGGACCAAATACTTCCTTAAATATCATTCACTGTATACATCCCAAAAGAGGAGGATGATGATCAAGATTCCTTTTTCATAAAGAATGTCATGCATGCAAGCAGATTCCAGTTAAGAGGTTTCACAGGTGCAGAACCATCCTTCCGACAAGTTTAGAATTTGCTACATTTACTGGGGAAGACTGTAAATAGATATAAACATGTTGATTGGAATTTTCTTTAAAGCAGAAAACATTACCAGTTGAATTATACCACTGAAGAAGTTTGATCAGCACACTGGCAAAAAACAATAAAACAATGACAAGACTCAAATTAGAATGTGGGTGATGAAATATTTTCTATTCTGTAAACCCTTTCCAACAGATGAAACGCTGCTAGCCTCTCCCTACTCTATCACTATTTAGATAGGAAATGTTCAGACGAGCGACACTGATTAGTCCCACCAGTTAAAACTTTCATGCCAGACACACTGCAATGGATCCTCCCCATCATATTCCATTGGTAAAAAGTTGAGAGGGTGCTTCTCCTGATCACTACAATTTTAACTTCGAGTTATTTTTGTTATTTTTTTTTCTACAGATCCACATAATCAGCACTTCTTACATCTTCCCGTTATATTCATACAACAAGCTTATTTAGCAACCCTCTACCTACAGTGGCTCTTGTATTGGGTGGACAATTAGTAAAACAATAATGAATCCAACAGGGACAAGGATATTAGTCCAAATTCCAGGATTAATGATAACTCCTCTCAAAATTCCAAACAATGCAGAAAGATAAACACAAAACAAATAGAATCTGAACCAAAATAATGTGAAACACTTATTGGTTTGTCAACACACACACAATTATATATATATATATATATATATATATATATATATATATATATATATATATTAACAACATCCTCAAATATTGCAGCCTTTCTGGGACTTAACGTTTCAGGTGGATTCCCAGTTATCTGTCTTACAATCTTCAGGCAGTTCAAGAGACAAGATATTCAAAAGAAAAAAAAAAGAAAAAAATTTAAAAAATAATATATCTATTTGCTGAAATCTTAAGAATGCATTGAACAGTTACCAAAAAGTTCATCTATGAAATTCTAGAGTCAAGGTGCAGATGAAGCAGAATATAACATTAATCAGCAAAGTGGAAAATTACATTTATTATATACATGGTAGTGATTACCGCATCTTACTCAAATGAGAGTCACCTCATCACCCTTTGCATCACTTGTAATAGCTTTTGTTTCATTTTGGCATCCATGGCACCTGAGATGACTCAAAACCAGCATTTGATTTCATAGGTATTATGCATATGACAGAAACACTGTATCCTTGATTGAGTTGATTGAATCTGCATGTCCTGCAAATCTGTATAGCACAATGTGCCTTCTCAATCCAGATGATCTGCAAATTATGTTGCAAAAAACATAAGTATTGTTGACAGGACAATGACACAAGTTGGTATAGTTGGCTTGCTTCTGATTGCTACAATGACCTGTCAGATGGTTTATATAATTTGCCCTCAACAACAGTATGAGATCACACCATACTTTTCCAAGACTACATACCATCCTAATCAAGTGCCTCCACTCTGTACAAATTAAAATCAATTCTTCGCAATGCATTCAAATTATCCTTCAGGCTATCTTTAAACCTCCTCTGAGGCTCGTCTTGCAGATGCTTTCCTGTCTTCAGTTCCCCATAGAAAAGTCAGTTGGTAATTATGTTATTCCCTCACCATTCTCACAACGTACCCTACCCATTGTATCCGGTTGAAGATTATCATTGTTTCAATGCTGCTGCATTCAGTACTTTGGAGGACAATAGTGTCTGGAAACAACTGCCATCTGATGCTAAGGATGTGTCTCCGGCAGTTTTGGGGGAGTTGTTAAAAGCATTTTATATGCCTTTGGTTTGATGTCCATGTTTCAGAAGAGTACAGCAAAGATGTATAGCTAGATGTATAGCTAAATGGATAGAACAATTTCTAAACTTACAAATATAAATTAAGTTACCTCACTTAGATAACATTAATTTTTGAATTAACAGATCATGTTTCATGCCAACTCACAACAAAATTTCACAACTATACAATTTTTGTCTTAGCAAACCCCTGAAGATGACCTTGGATGATATTGTAAGTACTTGCGAAAATAAAAGAAATGACAAAAACTATGGTGCCTTTCCTAATGAGTCTAATAACATTAAGAAAGTGATTTGTGAATTTGAGAGGATTAAAATTAAAATAAATAGACATATGTCCAGATTCAACCAAACATGCCTGAATGAAGATTTGCTGCATGCATATCATTAATTTCATGATTTAGTAAGATAAAAACATTATGAGCATTTATTACCTTAATGAAACTTTTGTGTCTGTTTGGATTTTACCAAATTTTGTTTTTTTGCTTGGTTTTAAACAAGTTACTGAGAGCAGCAGAGAATTCTTTAAATTTTGATCAGGGCTTTAAAAATGGATATTTTAAAAAGTATATATAAATATAAAAACAAAAAACAAAGAGGAAGAGCAAAAATGTAACAATAACATTGAGGACAAAAACTAAAGTGTTAAAAAAAAAAAAAAAAAAAAAAAATCTACCAAAGAGAATCGGCAATATAAACCACACAGATACTGAAGATTCTTTTTATACTCTTGTCTTCGATTGATTCTGAGGGGTGATAACCAGTTATGTTTTTGTTATATTTTACTTTATAGTGAGCAATTTCTTTTTATCTTTATTCTTCCTACCCATTTTATATAAGAGAGAGAGATTTAAGACAATGGAAAAGAATACTTGCATAAAGCATCCAAAAATTTGTTAAATGAAATGCCATCATTGTTCAACCAAAAATAATTTTGCAGTACACCAATTCCAAGAGAGGGTAGCCAAACATATAAGGACAACTTACCTGGGAGATGACGGAGAATGGCTTGGTCACAGTGATGACACAAGTAAAATTTAGAATAGAGCTCAGAAAGATAGTTCTTAAGAATATCAGCAATACTGCTGTTGTTATAAAAGTCAATTTTGAGTCCAATCACAGACTTGGCCGCCCAGAATTGCAGGCTAGCTGGAACTTTGGACGTTGCAACCCCAAACCCCCCAACAGGGATAATTCGGTAGTTCACATCAGTGTGGTACCACATAAAAGTGGCCTTAAAATAATTATGGTTGCCATGTCGATAGACAGTCTCTATGGAGGGCATTGAAAGAAGAAAACCTGGCAGTGCATCCAATAGGTTGTTGTCAAGTAGAATTGTTTTCAGCTTAGTGCAGAAGGTCAGTGTATAAGGAATGGCATTGACTTGAAGTTTGTTGTTGGTCAGGGCCAGATACTCGAGTTTCTTCATGCGACCAATATCTGCAGGGAGGTGGTCCAAACTGTTGTACTTGAGAGATAAGTGTGTTACATTGGCACACTTGAAGATCTGAAACCAGGCAAAAAGAGAAGAATATTTCAGTTTCAATATATAAAATACTTTAAAATATATTAAGATGTATCAAAAGTATTTTCATTTTTCTTAATCAGGTGTATGTGATTTCGTTTTTTTTTAATGTTTATGTAATTCTTTATGCATGGTATCTGTCAATTATCCTTGCTCTTCTGAAAAGTTTCCAAGTGCTGGTGGTTGGCTTCAACTTGCCTTTGCATTTTAAAGCATCATAATTGACGACTAATGGCTGCCCATTTTTGGGCTTTATTGCCGTTATATACTGTACATATGAACACTCATGGGTATGTCCCAATCCTCATAAGTACGTTGGACACTACTGTAAGTGGGGGTAATATGATGTTTAATTAGTCCACCACTAGCAGTGGTTTACATGCTTCACACTGCTGGTGAGTATTGTATTTTGTTGATGTTATAAAAATTACCATTTCATTCCAAATCTCCATTTTGGTTATTCCTCATTCAGTAACCATTTCTAAGTTACAACAATTGCAAAAAGACAACAACCTGAAAATATTTAAACCAGTTTTAGTCAGTACAGTTAAATATAGCTTTATTTCCATCCACTTCTCAAATTTTGCAAGCAGCTTTGAGGCCCAGTTTAAAATACCTCAAGAATTGCCAGCTTCTTAATACTTCTATCTACCATCACAAGATTTTAAATAAAAATGTGCCACTGTATAGAATCAATGGTTTATAATAATAAAAGGTTGTTTAAAAAATAAGAAAAATTTAAATAAAAAAAAATAAATATACTTTTGATACAACCTAATAAAAATTTCAAAACAGCAACTTTACTAGTTTGTGTGGAGGCACAGTGGATTAATGGATAGCAGCTTGGATTGAGGAACAGGAGAGCAGAGTTCGAATTCCAGTCAAATCCATTATGTTCACTTACGTATTAATACCCTTGGGAAAAGTATGAATCCATCTTCTATGGCACATAACTGACTGACTGTGTGTGATGATAGTAAATATAGTTTTAGGGCATGCTATATTTATGGGTAAAAATGCTATCAGGGATAGAGTATATATATATATATATATATATATATATATATATATATATATAAACAAAGTAGACACTGCAGTCAATGAGTGGTGACAGTGTTTCATACTTGAATAGTCATAATGATAATGGTCATCTACACATTTCTCAGTACACCTGGCAGCTAGCCTATCCCAATTGTACACATTTTTGTTTGTTCAACACCCACAAAGCCAACCTATGGTTTATATTACAACTATGCTGAGCAGACCTTAGTTACAGTTCCTGTGGAAAAGGTGTGCATAATCTGAATGCATGATCAACAGTTTGAACAAGACCAGTATGTTCAAACTGTCAATCACGATGACTTGTAACATTGTGCCAGTACATCGACCAACAGATTCTGAACAGTTATGTCCACACAATTTTGCTCACAAGTCTTGGGTCAGCCTGTGGCATTTTCAAGCATTTTTCAATGGTGCCACACACTGGGAACACTGCCCCCAGCCTGATAACAAGAAATCAATTGTATGATAAATCAACTATGGTGAGAATCGAACAATGGCTTGAGGATCAAAAAGCAAACATTCTAAACACAGCCACTTGCCTATAGTAAATACATAAGTATATACAGTGTAACCCGGATATAAGAGAGTTGTCGGGACCGGAGAAGAAGTCTCTTATATCCGGGTTTCTCTTATATCCGGGTTTGGTCTATTTTATATACATTAACACAGGCTCTAATTTGGGACCAGAGAAAATCTCTCTTATATCCGGGTTACACTGTATATAACTTTACTAATTTACTTTTTGTAAGAATGATTCACTGTAATATAAAATGAACTGCACCACATATTTGATTATATATATATGTGTGTGTGTGTGTGTGTGTGAGTGAGAACACGTTAGGTAAATAATCCGAAGTTCTTTAGTATTTTTGTTTTTAAAAAATATATATATATATATATATATATATATATATATATATATATATTATATATATAATAAATTTTAAGTTAGAACTTGGTAAACCGAATGGGTAATTCAAGGAGGATGAAATCCTGAGAGCTCAATGTGAATCCAGAGCTAATGTTTAATGAAAAAACAGACCACTTTAAGGTACCTTAAAGTGGTCTGTTTTTTCAATATATATATATATATATATATATATATATATATATATATATATATAGGGAAGAAAAAGCTTTGGGTAAAAGACTTTTCTTTTAAAAAAAAAAAAAAAAAAAAAAATAAGAAAAAAAAAAAAAAAAGAACTTTTGATACAGCCTAATAAAAATTAGAACAGTAAATTTACTTTACTAGTCTATGTCTGTGTATGGATAGTAAAAAATATAGTTTTAGGGCATGCTCTATTTTTGGGTAAAAATACTCAACAGAGTATATGTAAACAAAAGTAGAGAGGAAGATCAATGAGTGGCAACTGGGTTTCATACTTGAATGCATTCTTCAAGCATGAATTACTTATCTAGTGACCTGAACATTGCGGTCAAGCATGAAACAGACTGTCACTACTCGTTGTTGGCCTCAGTATCTAAAAGTGTGCGTTCCTTAAAAATCAATTTAGAAAAATAAGTTTTAAAATAAAAATTAAATTAACTCTGCAAGAGTTGTTCTCACTTTTGTTTGTGGAATCTAGCAGAAAAGACGTTTTCATCCTTCTCTCCTTCCGTGTTACCAAACTAAGATATATTTGGAAACTTAATGCTACTAGATTTTGAATTTTCTTCTCATATGTTGCCCAAATTTGCCCAGCCTGTTTTCAAAAGAAATCCCAAAATGTCACAAGCAGCAAGTTAAAGTTTTCAGTATTGAACTTTAAAAACATGGAACAATTTGCTACTTTGAGCCCAACCTATCAAACGATACTGCTCTGATTTTTTTTTTTTTTTAAGAAAATACATCAAATTTAATATGCACAAAGTTTTTCATGATAGGAAGAAGAAAAAACAAAAATGCTGCCCCTCTTTGTTTCTATATTATTTTTTGTATACTTTGAGAAGTGAAATGAAAAATTAATTACCAAAAATGCTGTGGCAACAACAGAAGAATGAGATCAATGGTAATCATCATTTGGCAACCGTAGTCAGGATCATCAAGCCAATGCGAACAATCCCTTCCTTAGCTGGATGTGTGCTACGCCAGGGCTACATACAGTTTTGAATTCAGGTTACTTTCTCCTAGACTGGTTGCCACCCATGGCTCTAGAACCCAGTCTGTCCTGCTATTTATCCATTGCTGGAGGGAAAAGAGGATTCATTCCTTTCTCAAGGGTATTAGCATCTAAATGAATGTAATGGATCTGATTGGAATTTGAACTTGGCTCTCAGATTCCTCAATCGGAGCCACTATCCAATACTCCACCATGCCTCCAATGGTAATGGTGGTATTAGATATCTACTAATAAGGAAACATTTGGCATTCATTGACTGAGCAGCCAGTATCGCTTTGTTAAAATTTAAATGCACAAATTAATCTGTTTAAACATAATGATTGAATCATGCAGACAATAGGCCATTTAGGTTTTTTTATCTTTTTTTTTTTTTTGGTAACACTGGAGATATTTACTTTACTAAAACTAAATACTGCTTTATTTTAAGTTTGATTATCATTCCAACTGATGTAGAAATTTGGATAAACCTACAAACTTTTCCATAGTCTTTTTCTTTTATAGATTCACGAGAATTTCAGTAGGTATGACTATTTAGCCACAAATTTTTGTTTTACTGCTGAAAAGAATATTGGGTTTAAAAAACAATGTGTAAATAGTACTAATTATCAAGCAGATTATTTTTGGTAATTAACAACTTTGAAGATATATCATTTGGATAAAAACATTTTAAAATATCTTTATTTTTTTTTTTTTAATTTTCTTTTCCTCCCACAAAACAATAAAATTTCAACCATCTACAATACCCCACCAAATAGGGATGGGAGAGGAAGTTTTTCTTCATTTTATAACATTTTGCTAAATTCATATTTGATATGACACATGACCAAATTGAAATGAATTGCAATTTACCCTTAATCTTTCCCTAGCATCAGATTTCATTTTTTTTAAATGAAGTTTATTATTTGTGGCACAAAATGATTTTTGTTAATATACATACTTCATATAATTATTCAGAAAACAAATGGAAAAATTCTATGTAACGTTTTGAGCTTTAAAAAGTAATTCAATTACCCAACATTAATCTGATCTATAGAAATTATATATCATACTCACATATATAAAATAACAATGTGTGTGAATGACAAAATATACTGACAAGTTTAGTTTTTGAGTTATTTCATGACGACATAAATTAAAAAGAATAAGAGTTGTTTCCCTTGCAATATTAGAGCACAAAACATTCTCATTAAAGTGCCACAATGAGTTGAAACCAAATCACTGCGGGAACAGTCCCCAGGTTAACAACTCCCATTTACCCTATAGGCAGTATTGTTTGGGGATTCCATAATCTGCAGTCAGACCAAGATCTCCAGACCTTTTTTCCCCTGCTTTTGCAAACCTCGAAAGAAAAACCTTGTGGATCATTTGAATAAATACAAATGTCGCTAACAAAAAAAAAAAAAAAAAAAAAAAAAAAAAAAGAAAAATAGATAATGATAGTAAAACTCCAATAACAGAAGTACTTCCACTCAACCTGATCTTAAATTTTTTTTTATTCTGATTGCTTACAGACAGATATTCAATATATTCAGAAAATCCTTTAAGATTAATTAAAACATGTTTTTATGTCAAAAATATTAAATAAAAGCATACATACATCGATTACATATATTAAGGAACAGTTTTACAATTCAAAAAATAAACAATATGATACTAATACAAAATATGGTGGGAATTAAGAAAATAATGACTATTTTCATACCTCTTTTGGTAAGCGGTTGTCATCTCCATACTTGAAGATACTGTCCAAATGAAATTCCGTAAACTGATGATAACTTAGATACAATGAAAGCAGAGTTTCTGAAAAAGAGAAAAAATAAAAGCAACAATAAAATTGGAGTAAAACTAGTAATAAAAGAAGCATGTCTCAACCCAAAGTGCTGTGATAAAGAAGCAATAATAATTTAGACAGAGTAGTAACTAGTAATAAAACATTGTAAAGATGAGAAAGCAACAAAAATAAATTAATATCTTTTCCAATTCATCCACATTTTAATTGTTGCTTATTTTGCTTCACCTACATAATTCCTCAAGCAAGACAAAATTAATTACTGTATTGACAAAAATGAACTTTGAGACTTAACCTTGGAAACTATGTCTTACGCTGACAAACGCAGTACATATAAATTTATATAACCACTTATCAAAATATAATTCCAACTACAGCGGGTCATAGCAAGAATAAATATTCTTAAATTCAAAAGAATCTACTTATGGCTTGGATACTAAAAAGAAACTTTGAAACATCTGACTTACCTAATAAGACAAATTTCTAATTAGACTCCTCATCTAAAACTTAACTTCAAAGAATAATGAAATAGTGGAAAAATCAGGGTATTTATTGAAAGAAGTGCCAATGCACTGACAGATTGAAATAAGGACAACACTGACATGTCCCTAAGACCTAACCAAATGCCACATCTAAAATGTAACAAGAATGAATGGGAAAACTAGGTTTGACAGCTTGAGAGTCAATGTCTGTCTGAATTTCTGGGATGAAGAGTTATCATTTACATTGAGACTAATGTCCTCATCTTTTTTGCTATTATTACAGCATTTTGGCCATTGCATACTCCAAACTTCTTCAGAAGTCTGGCAATCTAGGTAACCTCTACAGAAGGTTGAACTAAATCTTTTAATCTATGGGGGTAGATTGTTCTCCTTCTGCTGTCCATGTCTAGGGATATCTCTTGTTCTCACTTAGTCATGTTCAGTTTTGCTCACCCTGTTTCAGATTTTTTAGTATCATCATTTTTAGAACCCAGTTTTTATTTATCAACTATCACCAGTAGTTTTTTTATTGTGTTGCACAAATCATTTCTTTATATTTCTAGTTCAGAATTAATATAGACAAATTATCTGCAGGTTCATTTTTTGTTTTCTTTTATAATGACAGCTCTTCAATACTGTTCTAATTGGTTAGCCATATGAATTGAATTCCATTTCTTTTTTACCAAATATTGCAAGTAGTAGTTTAAGATCAGTTTGTAAAAGAAATCTAATATGCAGTATTTTGTGTAATCATTTTAACCCATTACCTGCCATGAGCCCCATTTGGGGATCTGTTAAAATTAAACTCACTACATGTTATTCCTTGTATTTACATTGAATTGCTTACATACATTGCATTTGTAGAGGTATTTTTTACAACAATTAGCCTTTAAAGTTTTTATTATTATCCGTAAGAAGACACTGTCGTAAATTTTACATTTCATGAGTAGAAAAATAATGACTATTTTGAAAAGTATTTTTTTATTATTTCTAATCAATATTATTTTTTGATGTTTTATACAAGTATATATTTAATGTTCTAATTCCTATAAAAATGACAATGGTAACTACTGAAATTAAACACAAGGAATAAATAAACTCCTAAGACACCTGTTTGGGCCAAAAAAATGTGCATTAAAAAAATTTGGCAGTTAATGGGTTAATCCAAAAATTATTGCTAAGGCTTCTTTTTGTATTTAATTAGAATTTTTCCCTGCAAGTAATAATGTTCTTAAAACATACATACAAAATTACACATTCATTACCATGTTCACAAGCATCAGAGGCTATTATTTTTAAATTAGGATGAAACTGTGGCAGTTATAAAGTTTTTGTTTTAATATATATCTTCAGTATCTTTAATATCTATACCTTTTAGTAACATATCAAATGGTGCTTGCAATTTATACACGTTCCATAAGTACAAATTGTAGTTGTTATAAATTACTGTAATGCAAGAATATGAAAGGAAATCTGCATTTTCATGGCTTTTAATTTTAATGTCTGGTCTCCATACATTTTGGCCAATAATTTGACCCAAACATTTCATGTGAGGCATAAATATCACACATCATTTTTCACTAACACCAAAATAGAATTTTCTCATATGTTCAAACATTTCATCTAGGTGCTTATAATGTTCTTACACCATTTCACCAACCAACCAACAGCGGCTATCATTTATTGATAAATTGTAGAAGCAACTTTTATTCAAGCAGATAACCTGTTATCTTGGTATAATACCATATGTGTATTAATAGTTAAAACAATTTTTTTTTTAATCTTTGTCTACTTCCATGTAACAAATGTGTTCAACAAAAAATGCATACATACTATTATTAGGCAGTAGGAAGGGCTCCACAGGTGACCAGACATTAGGTGTACTGGACAGACCATTAATTGTGGCATGTTAAGAACATAAGAGATGCACCTACCCAAATAGAATATTGCCTGCAGGTCCAGCCACATAAAGAAGATATTTAGTTAAAAAAAAAATCATCAAAGTGCAAGTTCTTTAAGAAAGGAATTCAGTATTTAAGGTTAGCACTTGTGTGGAATACTACTGAACTGAGATAAGGTAAATGCTATAAGGTGAAACATCTACAACAGACAAGTGAACCCCTTAAAAGGGTGTGCATTTCTATTATTGGACACTTATCCTGGGATTTTCTAGCATAGCAGAACCATTAATCAGCCTGTTATGCACATTTTATCTGGGATGATGAGTGGCAGATATCTCTCGACAAATTTTATCTACTAGATCTAAATAGGGAATGTCACTTATATACAGGTGCATATAGCAATCGGCACATGTTTATTCCAGCCCATATTTAACAAGTAGAATGGAATGTTGGGGGAGAGGGGGGTCAATATACCCAATCTCATAAGTGTTGGGTGACTACAAAGAAAAAAAAGTTTATGCATAAAAACAGTCAAATAATACATTAAACAAACCTACAAAACAAACTGATGTATGAAAGAAGTTGAATAAAATAAAAAAAGACTATGGTTAATAATAATAAAAAAAAACAAAAAAACCCATAAGCAAAAGGGGTTTGAGAAAAAAAAAAAAAAAAAACAGATGGGGAGGAGTGACTAATGTGTAAAAGTAGAAAATAAAAATGTATATTACTCCAGATAAATAATGAAAACTTAAAGTGACATGAAGGACAGACACAAATAAATAAAAAATAAATAAAAACACACACATATATATATATATATATATATATATATATATATATATATATATATATATATATATATCTATATCTCATGCACAAACATAAACCAAATGAATTCACCTGAACTTAGGATTATATATGTACAAATCAAATGGATGATATAAACACTTGACCTATGGTGTGGGAGAAAGCAGAATCCCTTGCATCCTTATAAGAAGACAATGTTCAAAAGGAAGATCCAAAAACCACATATCACTCAATTCAGTCGGCATTAAGAGGATCATTTTATGCATCAAAAATTTTACTCATATTCTTATCAGACATTACTAACAAACATTAGTTTATAAATTATGCATTAATAACAATAACCAGTAATAAAATAAAACAATCATAAAAATGTAATAAAAATTATGTGACAGAAAATTGTTTCCTGCAATTGACATGAGAAATCTCAGCATACAATAAGTTTTGTTTTTGTTTCCTGAAAGAAAGTGACTGGCATCGCAGCTTCAGTCACTTTCCCACCACCATGACAGGTCTTTTCCTTAAATATTTTCATGGTAATTGTTCTAATGTTCGTACCTCAACCTCATGAATTTAAGCATAGTGCTAGATTGGTAGCTAAGCCCCATTTTACTGTTGAAATAGCTTAGATGTAACCATAAGTTCTATTCTAATAGTTTCTTTCCTCTCACCTATGGAACTCTTCAGCTTCTTGCTTTCCTGTCAACTATGATCGCCATCTTGTGTCTTTTTAATATAGTTCTTTTAATGTTCTTTATTGGTTTCTTAGCTTCTTTCACTCAGTAACCCCTTGTGTCTTAGTGGGATGAATTGATAAAAATTTCAGTTTTCCCATTATCCTTATCAGTCCCATGATTGGGTGTGGTTATGGGTTGCTGTACAGCTGAGCACCTGACCAACACCTTCCACATGTCTTGGTTGCATGCTAATGCCCAAGTCTCTGTGAATGAGCTTCCAATCCACTCAGTAATGTTGTCAGCCCAGTTTTTCCTGTCTGATTCCTTTGGGGTTTTTTTTGCCTAAGGTAGTACCTTGCAGGATGGCAACAAAAAGATTGTTAGCACTCATGATGTTCCCATACCGATTCAAATTTTTCTTGACAGTTGATATGTAGTCTTCCAATAGGCTTGTTTCTTGTCTAATGGTGTATTGCACTGCATTATTTGTGCTGCAGTCTCTGTAGATGCTTGAGTTCTATAGCATCTCACTTCTAAGGCTTCACCGTAATTCTGCAGTTAATAACAAAGATCTGCAGGTATAACAGAAAGATTGAGAAAGCCAATGTACACACCAGTCTAATTTCAGATAGATGTTTTTTGTCTTTCTGGATAGTTTTGCAACAGCTGCCTTTATGCTTCCCTTGAAATTACTTATATTCTAAAACCCTCTTCACTGATAATCGACCAATATATTTTCATTAGCTCAATTTTTTTAAAGATCCTGACCACCAACTTATCTTGGTTGAAAGTCCTTTCTCATTGTTCAGCATTAATCTCCATGCCATATCTGGAGAATATTTCATCCAGGTTCTTCACCAGACTGACCAATTCTTTGTCAACTAGACCATATTTGTCATCTGCAAAGTAAAGGTTTATGATGTTGCAGCTTCCACCGATGCCTGTGGCTGGTATTCCTCAGGAGTGTCACTCAGGAAAGAAGTTTTTCAGAATCCACCTCTCTTGGGAATAGAAGACAATTTTGGTATACACTGACATGTATGTGGAACAACTTTCCTATGGAGAGCTGGAACAGTACTGTGCTGCTTACCTTAAACAGCTGCTGGATCTTCTTACCCAGGCTATATTTATTCATTTCTCACAATACCTTGTGCCGCACACTGTCAAAGGCTTTTTTGAAGTCTATGAAGACATGATAAAGGTTTTGTTGGTCTTGCAAGTATTTTTCACATAGAACCGAGACTGAATATTTGTCCCGTGGCACTTCATTGTTGCCAATTCCAGATGCCTTCAGCAATTTTACTGCTGCATCCATTTCTTCCCCAATTATGGAGAAGCCATTATAATTAGAAAACTTTGAGACTACTAGGATGTCAGACAGGGTGATTGGACAACTCTCGGCAATAGTCTGTCCATCCCTCTATAAAATCAGTCTGTAAGGCAGTTTTCCTTTTTGTTTTGGATGGTATTAATTCTAGATTGTGAACAATCTCAGCAAGGAGAAACAATCTGGAATGTCTTTTTGCTATTGTTCTTTAGATTTTCTTCAATGTCCGACAACTGATGTTTGATCCAGTCTTTTGCTTCATTCATTCATTCATTCATATTTTCAGCTTCTTTGTACTCTCCTACTCTTCAATTCTCTTGGTGCATCACAATTCCAAGAATTATTAAATGACCCATGGTTTTTTGGGGTTTTTTTTATTTTTCCTTAGAGTTACGTTTTTAGCTGCTTCAGACATGACCAAGTTGAAGTTGATCAACATTTCCACATCTATCTCCAGCATGAGTAACAGGGAAATTTTCTGCCAATGGTTGCTTGTAAGGATTCACAGATGGCAGGATACTTCAATCAGTCAAAGTTGAATTTGAGCCTGATATTCTTTTAAGACTCAATTTTCAACTGAAAACAATATGAAACAGCTATACAAAAAAAAAACCAACAGAATTTACTCCATCATCCCTTCCACATTTCAAAACGGCCATCAAAAGCCTCTGTGTTTACCATCAGCTGCCTCATGTGCTATTTTATCCACAATTTGAAATCTTCCTTTCAAAAAGGAATTTTAGCTTTTAGAAACAGTCAGAATTGATATGTAGGCACATTATCATGATGAATGTGATGACACCAACATAAATTAACTCAATGGCACCTCATTGTCAACTGAGTAACTTCACAAGAGAAGTTTCATGCATACACAGTAAAGTCCCCTCTAAGCAGTTGCCATATTAGATCAAAGCTATAGCCTTCAACATATTCAAAATTTTAGTATACTTTCCAAGATATCTACAGATGACAAATTCCTCACCAGACAACAATTCCCTCCTCAGATTGTTACCCTTTATTCCTGCTCAACTATTTTTTTTAAAGGCTATCTTCTCTCAGAATCATGGCCCTCCACAGATTCCTTTACTTCATCAATGAATTGGCAGGAATTCTTGGGAAAGATAGTTGCCTTCTGTATGGTTTCCTTAATTCTGTTATCCCAGGTTTGAGAACCCAGTCTAAGCTGATATTTAACCTATAACCACTTATAATACAAGTCACTTGTTGACAAAAGAAAAACATTTGACTTTAAAGTACAAGTCACAATAAAATTTTTCAATCTGTATTTTTTTTTCTCAGAGACAATAAATCATTCCACTAACTCATGATAAAGTGAATAGCCACTGGCTTGCTTTACTAAAAATGTATTGAATTCCACAACAATGGAAAATAGTCTTTAATCTATTGATTATAAATTTTCAACACTTTATTCCTTTGAGCCACTTACCTCCTGTTTTTCGGAATCCACCTCTTTTTTCTGCCTGCACCTCCTCTTTTATGAGCTGCATGATATAACGTTGCCTTTTGATGAGGGCAAATGATAAATACCACAGGCTCTGTGGAATCTCCTGCAAAAAAAAAAAAAAATCAAATTGTTAAGTATCTGAAATAACCATCCACCACACTCTCCCCAATAAAGGCATGGTCCCTGTCAAGATAAAAACATAAAAGAAATAGAATAAAGGCAAGATTATCTGTGTAGGGATTGATACTCCTGTTTAATACCAAAGTATTGCTTGCCAATACTCTTGACTAGGATCAGAGTGTAGCATCTGTGTAAAAGGTAACATGGATGCAAAAACATGTATGATAAGGAGATGGTAAAAAAATTATTGGCCATATCAAGAAAGCTTTAGCCCAGATTTGAGATAAACTTTTCAGCATTCACTTGTGTAGGTGTACATGGAAAATCTACAAAAGTAGTGACACATGCCCAAAGATCAACTAACAATCACTATGTAGTATTGATTGCATTGTTTTGTGCTCGTGTGTCTACCAGTTAGTAAATGTTCAAAGGACTTATCTCACCAACCAACACCACAGTTGATTGATAGATTCATTTTCTATGCCTTACCCCTTTGCAGATTTAAACCTAGAAAATATTTAGATTGTAAGAATTTTTTTTTTTTTTGAGAACAATGATTTAGTGATAAAAATTTTGCTAATTAACCCATATCTAGGGAGAGGAGTGGTATTTGCACGTAAGTGAATATAACAAACCCAATTGGAACTCAGTTCTCAAATTAACAATTCCAAGCCATTATCCATTACACCACCCACACATCCAAGCTTACAGCACCTGATATTCCCAAACAGTCACCCACCTAAGTACTGACCAAGTTTGATGTTGCTTAACTTTAGTGATCATACAGGAATTAGTGTTTCAGCGTGATATGGCTGTAATCCAACTCCAGTGTCATGTAGCAATATTTATTAGAGTCAAATTGGATCCTCTGATCCAGACAAGCATTGTTATGCGAAACTGGAATTGTTCAATAAATCTACTGAACATTTACAAATTGATTTGAAGACTATAGTTGCTCTATTTATCTACTACACAACTTTTAAGGAAAAATTCTGCAGGCTAAAAAAAAAAAAAAAAAAAAAAAAAGTTAAACCAAAATGTAAGGCAACAAAGAATTCAAAAATGCACCTAACTGGGTTAGAAACAATTATCCTCTAAGAAATATGCAAATGATTAAAGTCCAGGCATAAAAGCAAATCAAATGAGCACAAATCAAATACTGTTTTTTGAGACAAGGTAAAACATTTTAAGAAAGGAGATCACCCAATCAGAAAAGTTAAACTTAAAGAGACTTGACAGTCTCTTAAGTTTGACATTTCTGATTGGGTGATCTTTTTTAGCTTCTAGCCAGCAAGATGGAACATAGGCTAAAGAAATGAACTGTCCAACAAAGTAACAGTTCTGCCCATAGTTATTAAAAAAAGTTGGAACAGTTAAGGGGGAGTGAAAAAATTCTGAAGAGGTTGAAACAATCCCAAACTCTACAAGAATACGGAAGAAAATGCTGGAGATCAAAAAAAAAAAAAGTGCTATTAGTTAATGCTCATTGATAATCAGATACCTTGGATGTGAAGGTGCAAAGAGATTTTTTTTTCCTTCTTTCCACGGTAACATTAGCTATGACATGCAAACTTGCATGTGTTCTGGTGTTAATCTGTATTTGAACGCACTCGAAAGCCTCATATATAATTTGAACAGGACTTAATCGGTCATGTAAGGACATACAGGTCAGCAAAACATGGTTTGTGCCAAGCAAACAGGTAGAATTACACATTTAATACAAATGATGATATTTATACAAATGATGACATTTATACTACAGGTCATGGACTCAAAAGAGGAAAACCTCCTGGTGATATTATTCCACTCAACTAGAAACTGATCATTTAAACAAACATAAAAAAATAAATAAATAAAATATATATATATATATATATATATATATATATATATATATATATATATATATATATATATATATATATATATATATATAAACAATTTATTCAATCAAAATTACCCATCCCATTTCAAAATGAGATACAATAAATTTAATTAATGGATGCCTTGCAGTGGGTTAATAACCATTTTTATTGAGTTCAATCCTCAACAAGTGTCTCATACTTAAGAAAAAAAAAAAAAATGATGATACACACTTGACCTTTGAACTGATAGATAACAGATACCATATTGTCAAAAAATGTATAATTCCATATGAATTTCTGGGATGAGAATTTATCATTATTGACATTTATATTTGAATATCTTCACTTTCGTTATCACAATATTTCAGTCACTATGCTCTCAAGTCTTCTGCAGAAAAGTGTTGGTGAGCACAGCAGGTTCTTGTCATTATCACAATGTTTCAACTGAAGAATGCTGCAGAGCTCACTGACTGAAATGTTAAAATAATATCAAAGATGAGGATATTATTCCAAGGGAATATTTATTTACACTAAAAGATACAATTTCTTTTCTTTCCATATTAACTAATTTTCATCAAATCTTATAAGACAATGACTAATTCATTTTTGAAAGATATTTTAATTAAAACATTTAAATTTTCTATAGTCAAATATCAATGTGATCAATTGTATAATCAAAGTTAATTTCCAATCATAAAAATAGTCTAAAGCCTGCTTTAAATATAAAAAAATTGTTTTAATTTGTTTTGTTTTTTTAAGATTATTTTTTCATCATTTTGTTGAATTTAGAACTAAAATTATTTAATTAAAACTTCCTGGAAAATGTTTAAACCACTGCAATGTTTTTACATTCTTAGAGATATAATTTCAAAAAAAGTAGAATGAATGGTACAATGTTATATTTGTATTACCAATCTAAGAGAGATATACCATTTAATGTAGACATTAGAAGATTTTGTATAGAAAATAGAGCAGTATCAGTCTACATGCTTAGAGATCAACATAAATACAACAAATGATATTTTGTACATTACAGAACATTTTACATATATATATATATATATATATAAAGTATATAATTGGTATATACAGAATGAATTCCAATAACCAACAATTTTAAAGATTTGAATAGCTATTATAACATGACTCCGTTGTCAAGCTTTTTGAATTTTCCTATACTTGTATTTTGATTGGTCATTCTAGCTTTTGTAACAGCGTTTTGCCCTTGCGAAGGATCGTTAATTAATTTGAAACAAAATGGCTATTTTTGTAGTGATTTTATAAAATATGTTATAAATTTTTTTATATAAAATATATAATTATATATATATATATATATATATAAATAAATGGCTGGCAACTGCTTTTAGTGTATGCTTGTCTGCCAGGGTGGCTAGCCATTCCTTGTTGCAGACGTCTACTCAAGAACATTCGTGTTTGTTCAACATTCACAAAGCTTACCTGTGGCTTATGCTGGAACTATGTTGAACGGACCTTGATTACTCTTTCTGAGAGACAGAGGAAATAATCCTTGGACATTTTCCAAAAGGATGTCACGTGCTAGGATTGCCTCCTTAGGCCAATAACATCCAGACATTACCCTCCTAACAAATTGACCACATTGAGATTCAAACTTGGGCCTCATGATCAAAAAGCAAATGTTCTAACACACACACATGTGTGTGTGTGTGTGTGTGTGTGTGTGTGTGTGTGTGATAAAAATGTTATACTTATAGGTAAATGTGCTCAATATAAGAGTGAACACAGTTGCAACAGTGTTTCATGCTCAATCTTCAGGCCATCAGACTACATTCAAGCAGGAAACAGACCATCACCACTCAGTATTGACCCCACTACTCATATTACAAACACACAAAAATTAAATGTATGTGTATTCAAAAACAGTGTTTAAAATAGAGCACTCATACAAGAAAAGGATTATATAGAAGTCAATTTGAAGACATCATGTCTGATTATGTTACGAGAATCCCTTATCACAGGCAAATAGTTTTCATCTAATTAGTGTGCAAGAGGGGAGAGAGAATAACCAATGGAAAGTTAATAAAATCCTGTTAGGTTTAGAAATTGGTGCCTTTCATTGTGGTATGAAGAAACATGGCCTTATGTCAGAATTAATGTAGATTAAAATGTCAATAAGATTCAAAGTTTATCCAAACATTCTTATTATCTAAAATTGTTTTGTTTTCAAAATTTCCATTTATCAAAAGTGTTTATAATTCCTGTGTTTAAAAGCTTTGAAGACTTAAGAGGAATTTGTGACAGCACTCAGAATTCAAATGATAATCCCACTTTATCCAGCTAATAAATCTTTGTAAATCAGATCAATGAAGTATTAATCTACTTAAAAAAAATAAAAATTACTAAAAAGTTAATAGTATTTCTTTCCTCTTAATTTGAGACTTTCAGTCTAATATTTATTCATTAATGAAATTGTAACTTTTTTATTGCAAAACTTCAATTATAAAAATTAAATTGAATTAAAGTATCAAGCTCTGTTTCATCTTAAAGCGAAATTTTTGGAAATTCCAAAATTTTGCTTGAAGATGAAACAGAGCTTGATACTTTAATTCAATTTAATTTTTATAATTAAATTGAAGTTTTTAGCTCCTGTTTTTGAAACATGAGAACTTTTATGTATCAATGGAATCATATTTTTTAAAAAAATAATTATAATTTAGGCTCTACTTATGTACTGAGCACTGTTTTTTAAAAATAAAACCCAAAATACTAAAAGAACTTCGGATTATTAACCTAACACGTTCTTCCCTATTTTTCTACACATAAAATATATATATATATATATATATATATATATATATTATAGTGGGTAAATTCTCAGTTGGATTCAAACTGGCATTCCTTTTGCAACAAGAACGGGATGCTAACGAGCAGCATGTGTCCCCCTTGAAGTTCTTCCTTCTGCCATCTGTTTGAATCCATTCTACCATGGATGTCACTCTCCTCTAATAAAACCAATAAGAAAAAGAAATCATCTTTCATGGATACCATCTATAAAGAATCTCTTGCATTCAGTGTAGTCACTGGCTTCCACACCCTGGACCCTAACATCACTTTTATTCAACCGTTCTGAAGGAAAGGGTTAAATAAAAATTCACAGCTTCTCTTAACTTAAACTAAGCTAGTGAATTCTTGGAAAATTAAATTTAGTTAGTTTTATTTTATCAATTTATTCTCAACTGCAAACTCATCAATCTGGTTGGCAAGCACACATGATGCAAAGTTTGTCCTGCCAAACACCATCTGATGAGTTTGCCAACACACTATGACTGGACATTTTGGGTAAATTTCACTATTTCAGAACTGCTTCCTCTATGACAGAACTGTTCCAGAAAACAGAGCTCCGAAGAATCCTTTGCATCAGTTTTCGAGGACCACATCAAGATCCTCTCTTGGACATCTCTCCCCAGCAGCAAAGCTGCCATTCTTCAACATCGCTTCCACCGGGCAAGCTACATGTCCAGAATGCATTCTACTTGATTCCCTTGTGGCAAGAGACTATGTCAAGGCCTAAAACAATGCTTGTGTCGGATGTTTTCAAAAACATCCAACACAAGCCATCATTGACCCTGAAACCTGGGAAATCATGGCTGCAAGGCAGTCTTCCTGGGGGTAAAACTATCCAAGAGGAGACAGAGACTTAAGTCCATGAAGATGATCTGCAACATGCTGCAATGAGGGCTCAACTCACCCAGCCATGTCCACCACTCACATTCCTTTGTGACTCCTGCTCATCACTCTTCAGAAGTAGGCTGGGCCATCACAGCCATCTCCATCAAAGTCCCTAGGATGTATGGGGCAGTAAAGAGGGAAAGATAATGACAATCCCAATGTTTTGGATGTGAGCAGGTGTTGATGACAATTTTAAAAACATTGTCTAATTTATAAAATAGGAATTTTGTGTGTTTGTAT